TTTCATCCCTCAACTGGGATTTGCTCGATCAAGGATGGAATCCAAGGGTCAACACAATTGGTTGAACCCCAGGCACTCATCTTGGCATCAGAGGATGCCTTGGGCAGTAAATGGCCCCAATTACATATCTTCAGAAACTGGCCACTGTTGGTGGTTTAGCCATTTGTTCTAGCCAGTGATGACAATTTCACATTCAGGGCTGTCCTCTCTGGATAAATAACTCTGGGAATTCCTTGCCTCTCAAATATGAAAAATAGAAATTAGGATCACACATGTGTCTGTCCACACCAAGACTCACGACTATTGAGACCCAATCTAATGCCCAAGCTGAGAGATAAGCACAAATTTCAGAGACCAGGGCCGAAACTTCCTCAGGTAACAGACCAGATTCCATTCCTTTCCTTTTGGTTCAATGGACCTAGGAAACATCAGGTCATAGAGGAACACCTGCCCTTACATCTTGGGCTACGTGCAAAGGGTGTTCCCTCTCCTCTGTCACAGCCCACATGGTGGTGAGCCTATGTACCCTATGTGAGAAGATCCATCAATGGCTCTATAATCGCTGGGGTGGTATCCCATGGAGATTCCATATAGTCACTGGAAAATAGATTTTATTGAGCCACTGCCCCCAACTGCCATCACTACTACCCATGTCTTGACCTCAGTGGATACCTACACTGGTATCTTACTTGCCCCCCCGACTGAACATGCCACTGCTCAAGGTACCACACAGAACCTCGCTAAAACACATCTCATTCCTTTTGGAATTCCAGACAATGCTGACAGTGACCAAGGCACTCACTTTTCTTCTCAAAATGCACAACATTGGGCTCTTAGACAAGGCGTTCAGTGGGACTTCCACCTTCCCTATCAGTCCCCAGCTGCTGGTTTTATAGAACACCACAATGACTTAAACTAACCTTCCAGAAATTGCAAAATAACATATGGTCTTCTAAATGGGTACCCCTCCTATCAATGGCCCTCATTATACTAAACTCTGACCCTTGGGGCTTTCTGCTCCATATCAAAACAGAGGGAGATCACTCAAATTGCCTTTCCTTGCCCTCTGTGGTGACATCTCACATGTCAGGGTTTATGAAGATCATTTTGAACTAGGCAACCCCACCTGTCCACTCCCCTTTCAACTGTTCCTTTTCGGTCTTGCCCCCATTACAACTGGGATGGAAGCCAGAGTAAGGACAGACAGTTATGAACCACTGACTATTTAACGCCCTTAAGCTGTACACTAGAGCCACTCTGGCACCCTGATGATCTGCTTAAATCACAAGCTCTGCCAACATTTTCTGACTCTAAAGGATATTTATTTACTAATGCTAATCATGATCTCACTCGAAAACGGAGATCATTGGTCCAAGCCACACCTGCAGCTGTGTGAATAGCAGAGAGAGGTCAAGAAAGATCAAAACTGGTCTCATCCAAGAGCATCTTCTATTAAGGAATGCAGGCCCTCCTCAGACAAATAGACCTGGAAAGGGGGTGTCCACTGGTCCACACTATGCCCATATTGGTCAGCAGCCCCTAGTCATCGCAACACAGGCAAAGTTGTGCAGATAGCACAGCACATGGTCTGTTTCTCCGGCAGAAATGTTTCCACAGTTCTGCCCCTTAACCACTACAATATCCCAAACTCATTCCCTCTGCTTTGCCCAAGCAAACTTGTGCCTCCTTGCACTCAGCCAGCTCTACCCCAGGAGCCCTTGGTGTCAGTAATAAACTTTCACTTAACTTCTCTTCCTGTGTGAAGCGCCATCAGCCTCTGACATGTGAACCAAATCATGTGCCTTCTGATAACATGTACTGTGTATGCCTATTGAAGATCTATAGCCTGAATCTCTCTCTCTCTCCTATAGCCTCGAATACTCTCTCTCTCTCTCTCTCTCTCTCTCTCTCTCTCTCTCTCACACACACACACACACACGCAAATATAACAAAGCAAAATGTGGTAAAAAATGTTAGCCTTTCTGGAGTGTGGGTGAAGGGCATCAAGGAATTCATTCTATCATCTCTACAACTTTTTTCTAAGTCTGAAATCATTTAAAAATTTAAAAAAAATTCTGAGTCCCAGCTGAAACCATGCCCAAGATAAGTTCGAGCTTGGAGCCATACCCAAGAAGGAAAGACTCCAAGACACCCGTGGCATTAGGGACACTGTCCCCTGTGACTCCTGTCCCCTCTGGCTCCTGGACATGCTGCTCCCAAAACAGCAGGAAGAAATTGGCCAATTAATCCACAGTGGCTCCTCCTTTACTCTGAAGAGAAGCTGAGGATTTGAGCACAGCCTGGAAGAGGTGTCTGAACCCACCGACGACAAGCACTAGTCAGAAGGAGCTGGGAATCTGCACTCAACAATGGGTCTGCCTGTGGGTTTTGTATGAGTATGTCTATGTTCATGAGTGTGTGTGTGTATTGTGTATGCTCGTGTATGTGTTGTTTAAGAGCTGTGTGTGTGTGTATCATGTAGCTGACTCAGAGCCTGATCCTTTTACTGAGTAAGACCCAATCCAGGCCCTGTTTCAGCACATGCAGACCAAGTTATCAGCCTCCTAATGTGCGACCAGGGACTCCTGAGTCATGCACGTGAGCTTAGACACTTGCCTCCTGTTGTTACGACGGGGCATTTACCCTGCTGGGCAGGCGTTATGGCTCAGAGGATGAGGGCTCAGCACCGGGGTGGCTGCAGAAGATGCCCGACCTCTCCCAGGACCAAGGTCAGAGAGGGCTCAGCCTCCCCTCAGCAGTGTGCGCTAGTGTGTGTGCGAGCTACGTTTGTGGGTAGCACTCTTGTGTGTGAGAGCAGGAATGAGTGTTGATTGCTTATGTCTGTGTGAATGTTACCATGTGCACAGGTTGGAGGTGGTGATTTAATGAGTGAACAGACTTAACCGCCCCACACCGACTGCCTCCACCAGGAAGGGTTTGGGTCAAAAGGGCACCACACACACCTCTGAGTTAAGGGAGTGTGTGGCTGGGTGTGCATGTGTGTTGTAGGTGTGTGTCTTGTGAGATTTTTCAATTGTGTGTGGCCTCATGTGCTTCTGGTGATGTGTATATACAGTGATGAGTTACGTATATACAGTGAGTTGTGTTTCACCAGGTGTGTCATACTTGAATGTCAGCGGTGCACTGTGAGTGTATTTGTCAGTGATACATACACTGCTTTGTGAGTTATTTATGACTCGTATGCATACAAGTGTTCATGAACTGAACCACATACTGGTTATCCTTCCCCTAGAGTGGAACTCGGACATAGGGACCTGGAATCCTCAGACCAGCAGGTCTGTGTGTGTGTGTGTGTATGTGTGTTTGTGTGTGTGACAGAGAGAGAGAGATTTGTAGGTGTGTTTGGGGGCCTCTGATTTGTACCCATGACCTCAAACATTTCTTTACACGACCTCCCTCTGGGGTAACTGGGGTCAATCCACTGAGATGACCACCAAGAGACTGTTTGCTGTAAAAGATCTGCTATCGTTTTCATATTTCCGACTGTGACTGAATGTCTCAGAGCTTTGTACCCCTTTGCTTTCACTTAATGTCCAAGGCAAAGCAACACCAGGCACCAAGCCAGTGATGTTAGAGTGCAGAAGCCCAGCAAATGGTGGCAAGACCGTGGGAAGTCACTTAACTCTTTGGCCTCAGTTTACATAGCTATCTATACAACGGACGCTTATGGCCCGCAATAAATATTTATGACTCACATAGAAGCTAGTGTGTGTGAGAGCCTTTTGTTAATTGGAAAATACATAAATATGAATAAAAGAAATTATCTAGACAGGGCACCAGGAAAATATGGGACAACTTCAGTTTCCTTGCAGCCCTAAAATAACTCAGAGTGTCACTCACAACCAATGAAAGGAGGAAGTTCCATGACTTTAAAGGCATGGGTTGTACTTGCACAATAATATTAGATTGAACTACATCAAGTAACTGATATTTGATGATTTTTAACCCTCAGAAAATGGCTATTTTATGTATGTATGTATTTATTTTCTTATATGTATATATACAATAAAATTATATTTCAATCAAAATATATATGGGAGATATATATATATATACACACACATATCCCATATATGTGCACACATGTTCCGTATATGTATTTCATCTAAGTATATGTATATATGCACGTATGTATATGAATATATATCTATCCCATCTCTGACAGCTATTGTTGTAGGTCTATGGAATTTGTATCATTTATATTTGCTTCCTAACAGCTTAAATGGGAAAGAATGCTAAATTTTAGTACAGCAATGAAGTTTTGTCTGGTAGCATAAGGCTGAAGTGTGGACTTAATTAGTAAATACATGTCAAATCCTTAGCATAGTGGCCGGCACATAGCATCATCCCCAAGATGCTCATCGCTATTACAGGAGATAGTTCGTGGACCCTTCTGGCATCGAGTGGGTGTCAATGGCTACCCATTTCTAGAGTGCCGATGACTTTACAGCTGTAGGTCGATGGGACCCAGCCAGGGTCCCAGAGGAGAGTGACAAGGTTCCAACAGCACCACCTCAGCACTGGAAACAGCTGAGACCAGTTTGCAAGGCTCATGCACTACTTCTGCCACAGTGAACTACTGTGATTTGGCGCTATCTCAGCGTCACAGACAACCCCAATGTGCTTATTAAAAAGATACTCATAGAAGAGAGGGACCTTACTTTTTTGTGCACTGCTGCATTTTCTGGAGTAGAGGGCTGGGCTCAGACTCCATGTTCAGCAAATAATGGTTGAATGAAACAGTGAATGCCCTCTTGCCTCTCTGCAATGAGGTCTAGTTGGCTCCTTTTGGGTGTGATGTTTTCCTAGATCCAGACTGGGACAGAGCAAAGATGTGTGCCTCCACAGGTGTGAGAAATTAATAGGAAATTCATTGAAAAGTTTATTGTTTGCTCATAAAGTTGAAGTATGGAATGCATCCCTATCGTACTTTCTGATATTCCTAACCCTCCTTTATCCCCAGCACATAAAAGTACAGTATGAGGCCTGAGAACCAGAGCAGCATGTCTGAGTTCCTCCTCCTGGGGCTCCCGATCCAGCCAGAGCAGCGGGGTGTGGTCTTGGCCCTGTTCCTGGGCGTGTACCTGACCACGGTGCTGGGGAACCTGCTCATCATCCTGCTCATCAGGCTGGACTGTCGCCTCCACACCCCCATGTACTTCTTCCTCAGCCACTTGGCCTTCTCTGACGTCGCATTTTCATCTGTCACTGTCCCAAAGATGCTGAGGAACATGCAGATTCAATGCCAATCAATCACATATGCCGGGTGCGTTTCACAAGTGTACTTCTTTATATTCTTTGGTTGCCTTGACAGCTTTCTACTTGCAGTGATGTCATATGACAGATATGTGGCCGTGTGTCACCCTCTCCACTACACCACCATCATGCGAGATGAGCTTTGCATCATCCTAGTGGCTGGATGCTGGTTTCTCTCTTGTGCCCACGCTTTGCTGCACACCCTCCTCGTGGACCAGCTGTCCTTCTGTGCAGGGACTGTCATCCCCCACTTCTTTTGTGATCTTTCCGCTGTGCTCAAGTCCTCCTGCTCAGACACCTCCCTCAATGAGCTGCTCATCTTCACTGAGGCAGGACTGATCTTTACCCTGCCATTGGGTGGTATCTTGGGCTCCTATATCCACATGGCAGCCATCATCCTGAAGGTCCTCTCCTTCAAGAGAATCTTCAAAGCCTTGTCTACATGTGGTTCTCACCTCTTTGTAGTGTTTTTATATTATGGGACCATTGCAGGTGTTTACTATTTTCCCTCATCAGGCAACTCCAAAGTAAAGGACATAATTGCTTCTTTAATGTACATGGTGGTCACCCCTATGCTAAACCCCTTCATCTACAGCCTGAGGAATAAGGATATGAAACGTGCGCTTCAGAAAATTTTCAGGACCAAGGACAGCCCTTGGTGTCATTAATTCAATCCCAATGTCATGGGCACTCATGGGGGCTGTAAAGTATCTCCTTTAAAAGCTGTAACTTGCACAACTCTTATCACTGACACCATTTTCCTCCCGTTTCATTTTACTTTTTCTCTCATTTTTTCTTTGCCTGATGTTTTTCTTCCCCTACCTGCTCTCTCAATTCTGTGTATTAATGTTTCTGTAATGAAATTCCAAGCCCTCCTATGATGTTCACTGTAAGCCTGTGAGACTTTTGAGCCCATTTCTCTGAGCTTTAAGATGTTTTCTTGTATCCATCTTTTTCTTCAATAACCCTCTCTGAGTAATCAAAACTGTGTGGTATTGGCACAAAAACAGACATATGGATCATGGAATATAATAGCCCAGAAATAAACCCACAGACTTACTGTCAATTAATCTTCAACAAAGGAGGTAAGAATATACAACAGAGAAAAGACAGTTTCTTTAGCAAGTGGTGTTGGGAAAACTGGACAGCCAAACGTCAGTCAATGAAGTTAGAACACTCCTTCACACCACACACAAAAGTAAACTCAAAATGGCTTACAGACTTAAATATAAGACATTCTAAACCTCCTAGCAATATTCTCCTAGGGAAGTCTACCCAGCCAATAGAAATAAAAGCAAAAATTAACAAACAGGACCTAATTAAACTTATAAGCTTTTGCACAGCAAAGGAAACCATAAACAAAACAAAAAGACAACCTATGGAATGTGAGAAAATATTTGCAAATGATGCAACTGACAAGGGCTTAATTTCCAGAATATACAATCAGCTCATACAGTTTAATAACAAAAAAACAAATAACCCAATCCAAAAATGGGCAGAAGATCTAAACAAGCAATTCTCCAATGAAGACATTCAAATGGCCAATAGGCACATGAAAAAAAAATGCTCAATACTACTAACTATCAGAGAAAAGCAAATCAAAACTATAATGAGGTATCACCTCACACCAGTCCAACAGCCATCATTAAAAAGTCCACAAATGATAAATGCTGGAGAGGGTGTGGAGAAAAGGGAACCCTCTTACACTGCTAGTGGGAATGTCATTTGGTGCAGCCATTATGGAGAACAGTATGGGGATTCCTCAAAAAACTAAAAATAGACTTACCATATGATTCAGCAGTCCCACTTCTGGGTATATATCTGGAGGGAACTCTAATGATAAAAGAAGCATGCACCCCAATGTTCATAGCAGCACTATATACAACAGCCAAGACATAGAAGCAACGTAAACATCCATCAACGGATGACTGAATAAAGAAGTTGTGGTATATTTATACAATGGAATACTATTCAGTGATAGAAAAGGATAAAATAATGCCACTTGCAGCAACATGGCTGGACCTGAGATCATCATTTTAAGTGATGTAAGCCAGAAAGAGAAAGAAAAATACCATATGATAGCACTTATATGTGGAATCTAAAAAAACAAACAAACAAACAAACTTATTTACAAAACAGAAACAGACTCACAGACATAGAAAACAAACTTACAGTTATCGGGAGGGAAGGGAGTGGGAAGGGATAAATTGGGAGTTCGAGATTTTCAGATACTAAAATATAAAAAGTAGATAAACAACAAGTTCATACTGTATAGTATAGGGAACTATATTCAATATCTTGTAGTAACTTATGGTGAAAGAGAATATGAAAACAAATGTATGTAAGTTAGTATATGACTGAAGTATTGTGCTGTACACCAGAAATTGACACAACATTGTAAACTGACTATACTTCAATAAAATATATATTAAAATTAAAAAAATTTAACGTATATGGAAGCAAATACATGTATGTATATGTGTGTGTGTGTGTATATATATATATGCATGATGGGACATTATGCTGTCTGTACACCAGAGATTGACACATTGTACCTGACTACACTTCAATTTAAAAAAAAAAAGAAAAAAAAAGAAAACAGGGCAGATCTTCCATCATAATAAATGCACAAGTTAAAAAAATTTTTAGGAAATGTTGAAAGATCTTTGAAAACTAAGAACTGTCAAATAGCATGGTAAGATTTTGGGTTGGGCCAATAAGCACATGAAAATGTGCTCAACATTGTTAAGACCTGGAAAAATGAAAATTAAAACCACAATGAGATACCACTTCATATACTCTAGAATGGCAAAAATGTTAAATAAAGTCTGTTGTAAACTGACTATACCTCAATTTAAAAAAATGTTAAACTCTCAGATTTCTATTGTGAGAGAATATTTTGTTTTCTGACTTATTTACCTGAGAACCAAAGTTCAGAGAGAATAAGTGAATTTCACCATCTCGGAGCAGCGCATTTAGAGTTTGAGAACTGGGACTGGGCAATAAACAAAGGTTTTTCCCGTAATGGATACTTTAGAGACTGGTATTCCCAGATGTCTCTGCAACTTCCAGCAGGGAGCTCTGGGGATTGCACCAGAAACTACACATAGATAATTTCTCTTTTCCTGGGTTTCTATTCAGTCTGATTGATTCAGGATCTGCTGCCGTTTCTCCTTCCTTGGTGCAGTGAGGGTTCCATGTTCCGGGGGTCCTTTCTGACTTACACACAGGAGAGGATGTTGTCTTTTTATCTGGCCCCCTGAAAGTCTTCTCCACTCTCGACAAGTGGTAACTGAGAGCACAAGAGTCAAACTTCTGCCTCACCATGGAGAAATGATGAGCTCTTTCTGGTCCAACTCAGGACTGACAGTAAGTCATCGGCCATATTTCCCCCTTCTCAGTAGGTCAAGGGAAGCAGAACGGTCCATCGGAAATAGTTCCAGGAATCCTGGTTTTGGTACCAGTTGTAGTGCAGGTCTTGGACAGATTACAACAGCTCTTTGAGATTCGGTTTTCTCATTCATAAAACAACAGAGTTGTATTCAATGGCTTAATAGCCTTTTGTCCCTAAAGGATGAAGAAACTAGGTGTCTGATCCAGAGGACTATTTCACTGGGTTATGAATTTAATCTCTGGCCCCTGAAACCACAATTGCATGAAATCTTCATAGCCTCTTGAATAACTTCTTTGACATGTGGATGGAGTTATGTCTGGTCAGCTTGGCTGTTTTCAAAAAGGAAAAAGCAAGAGATTTGGGGGAACATTTCTCAGCATTGGGAAGGGGCACAAAGAAGCAGATTCAGACCAATCAGCAGGTATATTCATACTAAGTCTGAATTCCAAGTATTCATTTCCCTTGCAATCTTTTTAAATTAAAACAAAACAATATTTAGTTTAAATGTAACCATGCATTCAGTGCTTGTGAAAATATGTGATTAATTAGAATTACGAGTTCAACATCCATAGTACTTCGCAATTTTGAACATCTTCTGTGTACTAGAATGTATGCTAAGTGACCCCAGATCTTCACGTAAGAGTCATTTGATTTATTAACTATTCTATAAGTAAAGGGCAATGCTGGTAGCTAAATAATAATGCTGTATTGTTTCATCATAGCTTAAAAAATCATCTTACTGCCCATCCATTCACTATTTTATTCAGTAGATGATTACTAAGTATATAGTAAGAAGAAGCAAGATGGATAAAAATGAGTCCCTGGCACCAAGGCACACCATCTAATGGGGATAAGCAACTAATTATAAGGCAATGTGTCAAGCGTTCTATCAGAGACCCATATAAAGGGATGTGGGAACACAGGGGATAAAGCAATGAACTTCAGCTTCAGGAGAATGTAAAATAGTCTCAGATGTTGACATCTGAACTCCTGCCAGGTGGAGAGGAGGAGGAGACATCCAGGAAGGCGAAATAGCTAAGAGCAAAGGCCTGCAAGCAGGACCTGATGAGTTGTTTGAGGTCTGTGGGCAGTTACATGGTCAAGAGTGTGGGGTGGCACAGCACAGGGGAGGAAGTGTCACTGAACAGATGGATGGAGACAGAGTCACAGAGGGTTGATTATGTCACAGATAAAAAAATATCACGGACAGTTTCCTGAGCCTCACAACAGCCTATGACATAAATTTAATTATTTTTCTCTACAGAGAGGAGAATTAAGGTTCAGAGAAGGTAAATGAATTATTCAAAGCCATATTATTAGGTTTGATACAGAAGGCTAATCAAGATTTTCTTACTGCAAACTAAATGTTATCTTCTTTTACTCTATGTAACCTATATATTCGCTTTAGAAACAAATAAATGAGTTCAATGCGGCGGTTTTAAGATTTAAGAAATGCTCCCCACGTGGTTGTGAAATGCTCCTCCAGCTCAGACCCACAGGCCAGGGTCTTACATCATCTGTCACAAGTTGAAACCAGAAGACATATCTTTTTCCTCAGTGTCAATTGTTTGAAGTTTTATTAGTTTATTTGCCCACAATATCAGAAGAGTTCTGGGATTAAGCCATTTTGGTAAATTTTTCATTTGGAATCAGTGTAACTGTTTTTAAAATGGGTTGTACGTTTCTAACAAACAATGAGATTCCTGAAGGTTAATTACCCTTAAGTAAGATAAGTGAAAACTGGAATAAACATTCATTTATTTCTAATTCTTACTGGAAAGGTGATAGAGCTGAATGAATACAACAAAAGATATCACTGCACTTCCTGCCATTTGCTAAGCTCCTGAATCGGGACTTGGTTGCAGCCGGGGGTAGAGGAGGCAGACATACCAGAAAGGAAAGATCCTGGGCCTCTCAGAGTAGAAGTCAGGGTCTGAAGCTTTAGCTTTGCAAGTTTAGAAACTGGATCTTTTCCCAACATTGGGCTGGACTGAAATGGACTGACTCACATCGATCACACTCACAAAAGACCGATCCATCAAGCCAAAAGTATCAATGTGTTCGTTTGCCATGAGAACCGTGACTGCCAAATTAAATGGATACTTGAATTCTCCCAGGGGATAGATGTGTTAATTAGCTTAATTATGGTAATCATTTCACAATGTATATGTATGTTAAAACATCACATGGTCCACCTTAAATATATACAATTTTTTTTGTCAAATTATATCTCAGTATAAGTTGGAATAAGTGAATGAATCAATGAATAAATTAAATACTTAGGTGGTACATTTTCTCCTTATTGGAAATATGCACAAAGCTGAACTACAGGTATATAGTATATGATTAGTTTATGAATAATTATTACATATTATTATATAATAAACTATATTAATTCTTTTAATTTAATTTTAATTTTTAAATTAAGTCAAATATTATTTACTTGATTGTATTATTACTCAGTGGAAGAAAAAAATATATAGCGATAGGATGTGTGCAGTCCAAAGCACACTTTTATATGGTGTCTGACACGCTTCATGGGGACAGCTGAAGACGTTTGAAGGCGACTTGGATATCTGATCCAGTGCTGACAAAAATCTGTAACTTTATAGTCTGATCCAAACTGTCTTTTTAAATGTACACAATCATAAATTCAAACTTTACCAAAACAGAAATGCCTAAACAACTTTTTTTTTTAAACAGGGCTTGAGAGTACTTTCAACCCAGCATTATTTTCCTTTTTTGGTATTTATATTACAGTAAAATTTATCTTATACAGAATTCCAGACATGGACAGAAGAAACCAGACCAGCACCTACGAATTTCTTCTCATGGGACTCTCTGAGCGGCCAGAGCAGCAGCCTCTCCTGTTCGGGCTCTTCTTGGCCATGTACCTGGTGACTGTGCTGGGGAACCTGCTCATCGTCCTGGCCATCGGCTCTGATGTGCACCTCCACACCCCCATGTACCTCTTCCTGGCCAACCTGTCCTTTTCTGACATTGGTTTCATCTCTACCGTAATTCCCAAGATGCTGGATAATATTGGCTCAGGAAGTAAACTGATTTCTTATGGTGGGTGCCTGACCCAACTCTACTTCTTTGGCTTATTTGCAGATCTAGACAACTTCCTCCTGGCTGCGATGGCACTAGATCGCTACGTGGCCATCAGCCAACCCCTCCATTACACCATGACCATGAACTACCAATGCTGTGCTCTGCTGCTGGCTGGGTCATGGGTGGTCACTACCATCCATGCCCTAGTGCACACCCTCCTAGTGACCAGGCTTTCTTTCTGTGGCCCCAATGTCATCCCCCATTTCTTCTGTGATCTGGTCCCACTCCTAAAGCTGGCCTGCTCCAGCACTTACATCAATGACCTGGTGCTTATGCTTGTGGCAGGAACACTGTTAATTGGACCCTTTGTCTGCATCCTTACATCTTATTTTTACATTGCATTGGTGGTCCTGAGAATTGATTCCCCAGAGGGTAAGCAAAAGGCCTTCTCCAGCTGCACCTCCCACCTCTCCGTGGTCTCTCTCTTCTACAGCACAGCTATTGGGGTCTATTTATGTCCTCCATCATCCCTCTCCGGTGGGAAGGACAGACTCTTCTCAGTCATGTACACAGTGGTGACCCCCATGCTGAACCCCTTCATCTACAGCCTGAGAAACAGGGATATGAAGGGGGCCCTGAGGACACTACTCAGAAGAAAAACACTCTAACCCTCTTTCTAGGAGCCTCAGGGTCCTGACTCCAAAACTCAAGGTCTGAGAGTTGAAAATTGGTCTCCTGAGAGCCCACCCACTGTAGCTTCCCTGAACCAGAGACATCTCTTTTCCTCATGTTTGTATTTCAAAATACAGATTGACATCTGAGGACAGGGAGGGAACCAGTGATATTAGTAACTGCTAATCATCTTTGTGCTGTGTCCATGCTCTGAGAGGTTTACTGTCCACTTTCAAAATGATTCTTGTTGAGTTTTACTATATGCCTAAGAGAAGTCTGCAGGCAGCGGATGGCGGGCGGGGTGGGGGTGCGTTATCCATATATGAAATGAAAATGAAAGTGTAAAATTTTGTTTAGCTCAAGTCACAAAGGAACTATGGAAGATCACTCTGGCCCAAGAATACAGGAGTCATTATGACTGGTAGAATGAAGCACAAAGGAAATCATCTGATACTTCATTTTAAACAGGCAGTGTTCTATAGAAGAATAAGAATGGAGCTTTAAGTCCTGGGTTCCGGTGCTGGCTTTGCCATTAAGGTACTGTATGACAGCTAGGTAATCACTTCACATCTTTGAGTCTTGGTTTCCCCTTTAGAAAATAAAGTGATTGGATTACTTTAGTCTAAGGCCCCGCATCCATTTATCCCAGTTCTTGTAATGTTTGGTGTTATAGTGACAAGAACTCAAGACTCGAAGTCAGAAGTCACAAGTCAGAACGAAAAGTCCACCACTTCATAGCATGTGACTTGAGGAATATTCTTCCTCTCTGGGTTCTGATTTCTTTATCTGTAAAACTGGAATAACATCTACAGTTGACCCTTGAACATTGCGAGGGTTAGGGGCACCGATGTCCTTACAGCTTTACAGTCGGCCCTCTGTATCCTCGGTTCTGCATCTGGATTCAACCAATCATGGATTGTGTAGTGTTGTAGTATGTATTTATGGAAAAAACTCCATGTATAAGTGGATCCACACAGTTTAAACCTGTGTTGTTCAAAGTCAATGCTGCATGATAGGATTACTCTGAGTGATAAATAACATGTGAACTTACTCGGATCATGGTAAGTGCTCAATACATATTTATTGACTCCAAATCTTCAGTTCTATTATTTATCCTAATCAATCTCTCTCTTTGTCAGGACAACCCCCAATCACTCACACTTCTGGAAGACCTGTTTCCCAGGCTTTTTATCATTTCCCAAGAATCTTCAAGGTGATTACTTTCTCTTGTATATAGTTTGGAGGTCTCTGAATATGGAGATGGAAAGTTCTTTAAAAAGAATTCTTTCATTCATTATTTAATTCCTCCATATCTGCTTCGCCCGGGTTCACCAAAGACTATTATAATGTAGACAGAAGACTGCGCAAGCATTGGGAGGAGTGTTTCTTCCCAGGCTTGACCTGTACTTCCAAGCGGAGGAAACTCAGTCTGTGTAACAACCACCCTAGCTTGCTCCCTTACTCATTCTGCCCGAGAACACTTAATTGATTCATTTGGGCACATTCAGCCCAGACTCTCCCTGTTTCTTCTTGAAAACCAGCCTATTTACAGGGATCATGTGCTCTGCTGTGTACCTCCAAGGACAAAGAGCCCCTTACACACACCACGGAGGCCCTCTCCAATCCAGCACTACCTGCTCCTGGAGTCAATTAGAAAAACATTTAAGTTCTAACCCCAAGTCATGTCTCCAACCTAGACATTATCCGTAGTAAAGTGGCAGTTTGGCCCTGTCTGTCTTTGTCATTATTCGTCATTTGATTAAGAACTCAACTGGGTGTGGTGTATTTATACAGTGGAATACTACTCAGCCGTAAAAAAGAATAAAATAATGCCATTTGCAGCAACATGGATGGACCTAGAGGTTGGCATTCTAAGTGAAGTCAGCCAGAAAGAGAAAGAAAAGTACCATATGATGTCACTCATATGTGGAATCTAAAAAAAAAAAAAAGACAAGACACAAATGAACTTATTACAAAACAGAAACAGACTCACAGACATAGAAAACAAACTTATGGTTACCAGGAGGGTAAGAGGGTGGGAAGGGATAAACTGGGAGTTTGAAATTTGCAGATACTAACTATTAAATATAAAATAGATACACAAGTTTCTTCTGTATAGCATAGAGAACTATATTCAATATATTGTAGTAACCTATAATGAAAATGAATATGAAAATGAATATATGTATGTATACGCATGACTGGGACATTGTGCTGTGCACCAGAGATTGACACAGTGTAACTGATTATACTTTAAGTGAAAAAAGAAGAAGAGCTCAGCTGGGAAAGAAGGGGACTTTTGGGGGCTCCTTCAAACACTCCCAACAATCTGAAAATCACAGCTCCAGCACTCAGGAGCTGGGCGATTCTAAAGTAAGTTCTTTAATCTCTCTGAGTCTCCTTGTCTGTAACAAGAAGGTAATGGCATAAGTCTTAATAATTTTGAAAAATATTAAATAACTGAGAAAATGTAACTAACATGCTTATCATGATACCTGACACATAGGAGGGACTCAACAACTAACTGCTTCCCTTCTTCTTGTGCCACTGCTGTTGTCCTTTCGCCTCTTGTCATTGTCATTGTTGTATGTCTTGTCAACTTGACCCCTCCCCTGTTGGTTAATCAGAGTCAACCAGTTGAATCATGAGCTTTTGAATGGTTGTAGCTTCTTGCATTCTCTAAAAATAATACCTATGGAATTTGGAAAGCATGTTCCTAGGCTATTTTATAGCCAAATAGTTTCCACAATGAAAGGAGACATTCTAATTCTTACTAAGAGAGAAAGATCTACAAAAGATGTTTTTAAGCTACCATATTGGTATATATCTTGGTTTGGGGTCACTCAGAAACAAGCCCTGAGATAAAGGTTTGAATGCAAGCAGTTCCTTTGGAAGATGATCCCAGGAAACACCAGGAGGGAGTAGGGAACCAAGGCAGGAAGGGGAAGGTAGGCAGTAAAGAAACACTATCAAGTCAGTTACCACTATGAGTATTTGGAGCTTAATATGGCTGGGAACCCTGGAACCACTGTAGAACACAGACCTTAAAGTTATCTCACCCAAGGGATCCAAGTTATTTCACCCAACTCTCATCGGTTGAGGTTGCAGGTTGCTTACAAGGAGAATTAATTCCTTAGCACTTCTACCCTGCCATGCATGCTTATCTGGAACTCAGGAGACTCACTGGGACACCACCAGCTGCCAGAGACAGCTCTCAGACAGAGTCAGGTGCTGGCTTCTGAAAGTAGGCAGGGGAAATTCACATGCTTCCTGTCAGTGTTACTAAAATGATAAGAATTGAGGGAGCTTGGGTGGGGCACAACAGCATCTATTAGAGTTTACCTCTTGCACCACCAGACCCACCCACACGCCCTATACTAAGTTCACTACACCCTGTAATTGCTTCTTTAGAATGGTGGCCAACCATAGTTTCTTTTTGAAAATAGACCATAGGAGGTTCAGTAGGGCAAGATGTAGCTCCCACTGCTGCAGTTTGCCCCAAGGTCATAATTGGTATGTCACCTTCCTCCACCAGTCCTCTATCTCCACTGTCCTTGTTTAGCCCTTCTGATTGTCCAGTGGCATACTTCATATATTGGTTTACTTATTTATTTTAATGGAGGTACTGGGGATTGAACCCAGGACCTCGTGCATGCTAAGCACGTGCTCTACCACTGAGCTATATCCTCCCCCTGCCATGGCACACTTCAGATCAGACTCCAGGTTCTCAGACTCTGAAGCTCATGCCCTGTTAGCTGTGTTCAGTGCAGTTCTCTGTTGTTGCTGAACATTATTACAGTTTCAGAGTAACTCTTTGTGAAAGCATCTAACCAAGGAGACGGCAGATGGAAGTGGATCTGAATTCCAGGAATGCTGGGGGGCCCCCAATATAAAGAGTTGTTTCTCTTATCTTCCTGGTAGGAAATTACATCTTCTCCAGGCATTTCAAGCAGAAGTTGTGTGAAGAGACACCCCTGAAATCCACGGCTGAGTATTATATCTCACAAGTACACATGCCTCATTACCAATTATATCATGTTGTTCATAAGAATTTATCTTACAATGGTTCACTCTTAGCAGTTGCCCTGCATTCTTCTTATATATTTTTTTCATCACTGAGCAACTCTGTACCTGTACTATAGCATAGCTTTGGGTCATCAGATGAACAGCTGAAATCAGGATTCTCTGCCCCCAGTACCCATAATAGGTCTGATTCATACAGCCATTCACAGTTATTACCAAGCATGGAAGCACCACGTAGTGTCCTGGTGAATCCCATGAGTTCCAGACACACACCTCCCTGCCCCCTTAAATAACAGCAACTTGATTTCCTCATAATAATTTGGATCAAATGCTAATATGGTCAGAATGTTTGTGTCCTCCCCCCAAAATTCTTTCTGCCTGAAATACTCCTCCTCTTCTCCCCAATTCTCACTCATTCTTTAGATCTCTGGTGAAGCAGCCCTTCCTAAGAAAGTTTAGTTAGATCTTTCAGATTTACATTTTCTAAACTCCCTGTACTTATCTTTCAGTGTACTTATCTCAATGATATTTCAACATATAATTGCCTAAGAAACTATTTATTCTTTCATTCATTCGTCAGATATTTACTAAGTCCCTTGTATGTGCCTGACACTCTGCTGGATGCTGGGTCTGTCATGAAGAATAAAATGCACGTTGCCTCTGACTTCACGGAGCTTGTAGTCTAGTGTAAAACATCTTCTATGTTTTATTGTAAGTTCTAGGAAAGTAGGAGTTCTGTTTTACTGATTACTGCATCCCCTGAATCCATAGGATTTTGCTAAATAAATAAATAAAGAAATATAGAAATTAATGAATGAGTGAATGAGTTCTCTTTGGAATTTCAATTATTTTTTGAAATTTAAAAAAATTACTTTTTTGTCTCTATTTTTACAGTTTAGTGATTCATCACAAAGCAAACACCTATCTTCCACTCATCCAAGGAATGGATCCTTACCAGGGTTCCAGAAACTGT